CTCTCTCTCTCTCTCTCTCTCGCTCTCTCTCCCTCGCTCCCTCCCCACCAACGTTATAATTACCATTGGCATCTCTGCAACGCCACCAGCGGTAGCAGTACTCCTCCAATTGCTCCAAAGCCATCATCTCTTAGCCACCGCTACTCCACCACCAGCTTCACAATCTCCGCCACTGCCTAACTACTACCTCTTCACCATTTTACCGCCACCAAATCTCTCTGATTTCCCTGCACCAGGAGCAGGAGCGACATGACAGCTATTCCGGTATTAATACCACCACCACCACCGCTGCCACCTCCACCACCAGTAGTACCACTCCGCTCCCTCGACCGCCACTGTCATCACGCTGCTGCACAACCACTTCTCCACCAGTGCAACCACCACTGTCATCATCCTGCTGCACAACCACTTTTGCACCAGTGCCACCACCGTTGCCACCACCATCACCTTATCACCACGACATTGCCATCACATGTTACAATAACAAATTATAGTTTCAAACAATTGAACACCCCTATAGAGCAACTAATTGACTGAATTGCCTCTTGGTCAATTACAACGGGAAAATGAAACCATTTGATAATCTTGAAATACAACATGCCTACATTTAGTTGCTCCCATGAGTGCAAGCATTAACATGTTACTAGTGAACTAGTGAACTAGTAGTACTAGAAACCCATTTATACTACTGTAGTAACTAGTCTGCAGTGTAGTAAAATTCATTTCTAGTTGTCAAGAAATGTTTTTCAGTTTTCCTAGTCATCATGATCCAATATTTGTTTGCTCAAACTATTAGTCATTGTGCAATCCACTTTAATACGATAACATTTATATTTCAGCTATAAAAAATTAATTGTGTTCTTTAGTATGCTAATGGATGGCATAAGCTGCATATAGGTGAGGAAAGATGAGAAAGCAGAAGTCGTGACCAATACTTTTATGATAGGGTGTCCTACATTAGAAGGGAGCTTTCGTTTAAGCTCAACTTTGTGCCTATGGGTTCTTGGTGAAGCATATCATTGAGGCATACTTTCTTCACAGCATACTTTGTCAGACATAGAAATATGCTTTGAGGACTGTTGCTTTCTTCCAAACACCCAGTATCATGTATACTATGTTGACTTGCACATTTATGTGTATTTGTTGTTATGTAGTTTAGTCGATATATTGAGTTGCTTGCAAGGATAAGTGTATGTTTTCTGCCTCTTTCTATTACACATTTGTGGTGGGTGTTGGAAAGTGGAAGCCTTGGAGCAAGCGTCTAAAATTTATGAACAACAGTTTTTGAACTAATTTAACTCTCTTGAATCGTGGCAGGTTCATTATCTGCTTCTAGAATTCTTGATATATATTTTTATATCAAATTTATTTATGTCCTTTATTCTGTTTACTATATCTTGCAGTTGAAAGTTGATTGCCTTGAGGGCATACCTAATGTGGAGTTGGTCTTAGGAGAACATATCTTCCTAACTGTGGGTGATTGTTATTTGAGCACAAGAAGAGATTGAGTTTATCCAAGGAGAGCAATTATTTTTCGCAGTCTTTTTTATTTTGGAATTTCTTATTTATATATATGAAATGCTTATGTATTTGAATTCCACAGTGCTCAAGATAGACTTGTGAAAGTGTTCTCGTAATATTGTGCTTTTCTTTTCTTTTCTTTTTTCTTTCATTTATGTTTGTTTCTTGTAGAATGAGGAACTCAATGTGAAACCTCCTTTCATTTTTTATAGAATTCAAATGCTATTTGTTTCTTGATGGTCTTAGATTGAGATCTGTTTCACACAGTGATAATTGTTTATTAGTTCTCTTTCCCAACCTGTCTAGCATGGCCACCTCTGAAGACGTGGGGGTATATAACCACGTGTACACAAGGCAACAAGTTTAAACCTTGCTTTAGTCAGTTTTCTGACACCTGGACAACTACTCCCCAAGATCTTTACAGGGGCTCAATCTAAGGAAAAATGCCCCACAGATCTTATATGTGACATGCACTCACCTAGTCTTGAAGTCCCCACTGCCAGTGCAGTGCAGCACAACAATGTGAGCTTTGTTTAATTCAACCATCTCTGAGGTTAACACATGTGACATGACATAGAAGGTTTTATTTAAAAGTCTGTATACCATGCTAGCATCTGGGTTTTAAACAAGCTGTTGATACTTTTGTAACCATGCAATGTCAACAATGCATAGTGGGGGTGGGTGTTCATGTCCCAAACTTTGTTGAAAATTTGGCTGACTTTGAATGAACTGTGCACCTTAAATGTCTGTTGTTGCCATATTACAGTTAAGGGAGGTGCCTCTACACTGCTTGAAAGCAAATGCTTTTACAGAATACTTTAAATGCCCATTGAAACTTGACTTGGTTTCTGCTGATCATGTGCTCTCACTTGGTGAGCTTTTCAAGCTCATAATTGTCTTAACTATCACAGCCATAGTACTAGCGTCTGATTTTCTTGTCTATTGCTTCCATCCTCAAAGCATACCCTACTGCTCCCTAGTCCAGCTCCAGTTAATCCTTCTCAAGCGGTTGAGTCACTTCATCAACTTTGAGGACCTCATATAGAGGGCCAGGTATAGTTCGGTCCATATAATCATGGTCACGGGGGCTTTATCACTGTCCAATTAGTGAGTTGGACGATGATCAGGTAAAGCTGATTTCATCACCCATGTTACTTGTCAATTGAACATTTTGTTTTTATTCCATCTTTTTGTCTCCAGTTGATAGAATGGTGATTGTACTTCAATTGAACTTCCATTAGAGAAGGAAAATATAACATGATACTGATTTACGAAAAAATTACAGTTTCAAAAAATGAGCTCGAGCAATCTATGTGCATTAAACAATTGGCTAAACCATTAGAAAGGCAAGGACTGTGGCATCCCTTTAGGAACCCTCGACCTACTTTAGATGCCAAGAACCTGGGTCATTTAACCATATGATCACAGGAGTCGAGAATAATTCTGATCGACCAGAATCTCCTCCCTTGACACTCTGCCTTTGCTAATTCTTCAGCCTCTTGGTTTCTTCTCTATTTATATGTTGAAAAATAACTTCCTTATTCCTCCGGCCATTGCTAATCTCATCATATAACTGGTTACTACACCAACTCACCATGTGAGCTGAATAGCCTTCAATGATGATCCTGGTGTCCTGTGGGTTGAGTCATTGAACTCTAGATGGGCTAAGAATGGGCTCAAGGCTTGGTGGTTAGGGTGTCCGGGTAACATAACTTAATATCTTGAGTTCCATTCCTACCACAGATAGGGGATCCCATCCTCTCTGAAGTACCCAAAAACAAACTCTAGATGGGACATCAATTCCGGCTCCTTAGCTTAACAGATGTAGTAAGGATGGTATGACCTTTTTCATTAAGGATAGTATGGCCTTATTCATCTCTAATAAGAGCTCCAATGCCAGCATGACTTGGGTGCCCTCTTGCACTTCCATCGAAATTTAGCTTCAACCCCGTGGCAGAGGTTGCCACGTTTATGGCTTTATCGTCTTTTTTACTTGAGTCTGTATAACCTGATTTTATCACACCTGCGAATTCCTTGCAATCCATTGGCAAAGATGCTATCATAATCTGCAGTTTCCACTTGACATCACTCCATTCATTATCAGTGGCTTCATGCACTGTTCTGATCTAGAGAAAGGGCAATATTGAGTAAATGTTCTCATGTTCTTCACATGAAATGCAAACATTTAATGGTTTTCATACCTCTTTTCCTGAAGTATACTGTTTCTGATAGTCAGCCAAGTAAAAGCTTGGGCTTCGTGAGGAACAGGCATGTACCAAACTTTGTTAGCCACCAGAATCAATTTTACTGACAACACAACAACAATGTGGTCGTATAAATATTTAACTGTAAATGCTTCCAAAGTGGGCAATTCCTAAATCATCAAAAACTCTGTGGGGATAGTAGAAGCCATTGAGTAAGACCATTAGTTCCAGTAATTGATTCCCGATATAATCTTCCATGCTTATGGTCCTTAGCATTATAATCCCACTTCGTATTCCTGCCCAAACCAAACACTTCTTTTGCTAATGCCTTAAGGTTAGTGCTCTTTCAAAACAGTCCAAGAATGCAAACCTTCAACAGGCTATTGCCATTTGATTTTCTAGCCCAGAATGATGTCTTGACCCTGTTCCAAATGTGCATCCCGCTGTGCTAAATAAAAAGTGGTTTGCAATGGTCAATACGTTTCCAGACAAACGAGGCCCTCCTGCTGGATGTTAGACTTTTGGTGAAAATTCCTTCTTTCTCTAGGCCCATAAAATCAATTTGCACGAGGGTTGATCATCTGCTATATGCCACCACCATTTCATAAGGTGAGCCTCGTCCCTAGGATTTGTTCGCCTTATTCCAAGCCCACCCAGCTTCTTTGGACACCAAGCAACCTCGTAACTAACGAAATGGTTTTTCTTTCTCCCACGCTTCTCCGTAGGAAATTCTTCATCATCTTTTCCAATATTTTTATCATGGAGCTTGGAGCCCTAAACACATAGAAGTAATAGCACAGTAAAATTTATTCGAGTCACTTTAATGAGTATTATTCTGCCGGCAATCGAGGGGTGTCTAGACTTCCATGTATCAAATTTTCTTTGAAACGTCTCTACGGTAGGGTTCTAAATATCCCTCGATAGCCTTCCCTGCAGCACTGACATACCTAATTATTTGGAAGGGAGGGGCTCTACTTTACATCCAAACTATGCAGCAGCATCTTGCACTGAGCCCCCAACAACTTAGACATGTTTATATTAGGCCTCCAGCACTACTTGGTAACTCTCAAGGAACAACATAAATTCCTAATCTGCTGGAGGGATGTATCACAAAAGACCACAGTGTCATCAGCATATTGAAGATGACTAACAATAGGGCAGATTTATAGACAGACCAAATTCACTGATTTCAACATCAGGCTAAAATATTTTGTGGCCAAAATGAATAAAAAGGGCACAAAAGAATCACCTTGCCTGCCTGATACTTTTGGGCTTTTGAAATATCCAACTGCTTTGCCATTTAAATACTAATGTGTTGAAGACAGATCTCGCCATACCCAATTTTTCCACCTCTACCTAAAGCCTATTAATCTTTTATTTTTCAAATAAATGGTGACATTCTATTTTGTCATATGCCTTTTCAATGTCAAGCTTGAATAACAGTTTTGCTCCACCCAAGCACGACCTAGAGTGGATGCACTCCTGGGCCACAAGGATACTGCCCATAATCTGCCTGTTCTTGATGAAGGCCAACTGTAGGCCGAACATGACATTGTGTAGCATGACTTTCAACCTATTTGCTAACACCTTTGCAAAGATTTTATTCAGGCTGGCCAGTAAGCCTATTGGCGTAATGTCTCGCAAGGTGGCCATTGTTTTTCTTTTGTACCAAAAGCAATTGAGGTTGAATTAGGGGCAGTTTTTTATCATACGCTGGTGATAGAAATCTTCTTGAGAGTGACTCAAATTCTCTATATGATGTCCCAATAAGAATGAAAGAGGGCAAGAGGATATCTTTTAGGACCTCCATCACAGTTGTCACATCTATTATTAGTATCCTGTACTAAGGTACATCAGCCCAATATATGGAGTGACTTGGTCCATTCAGAATGGAGGGCTAAGATGGCCCCAATCACAATGTCACGTCTTTATACTATTTTATTTTTAATTTGTTTTCTATAAAATATTTTGATACCAAATTTTACACATCCATTCCTTTATTAAACTCGCACTAGCAAAAAGTATAAAAAAATATTTTTAATAAAATGAAATGGCCAAAATACCCTTGAAAGTTTCAAGGGGTATTTTGGTCATTATATTTTATCGAAAAACTATGTTTAATATTTTTTTTATAGGTACGCCCCAATGATATTCATACAATTTGTATAAAAAAAACTAAAAATAAAATGCTTTGAGACGTCGGATCTAAAATCAAACGGTAAGTGGCTCTCTTGATCAAAATTGGACGGCTGGATGGTAGAGGGAGGATAGAACTTCTATGCTGTAGGGGAAGGATCGAAACCTTTCCCAGAATAAAATGCCACATTGCTATATACCCCATTGAGCTGATTCATAAATGCCATGTGAGTTTACACCGGCGATCGAAAAACCCCTAGGATATTGACAAATCTGGTACAACTTTTAAACGACACCCCTCCCCACACCAAACAAAATAAACAAAATTATTGAGCATTAAATTTCAATCAGAAGGGTTTTAGGTCCAAAAATAATTATGTAGATCTTGTGGAGGGCTAAGAGAAGGATTTTTGGGCAAATGTTACAAAAAAATAGATTTTAAATAAGGAAGAACAAACTAAAAAGGAAGATTTTTGAAAAAAGGCGTTAAAAATGGTTGAAAAATAAAACCGAGTGCCAACCCATGCAAATGTTATATTGAAATGGTGAAATTGTTGTTATAGACCTGTGAAATGGTGTAATGTAAATGTTATATTGAAATGGTGAAATTGTTGTTATGGATCTGTAATGTATTATCCCGCATTTTATCTCGAACCATTTTGTTCAGAAAAGAGATTCATCCAATCACTTTGTAGTCAGTCATTTGAACGAAAAAAAAGGCTATGTCACGCTTCCTCGTGTTATTATTTTCATTATTATGTTTTCAAAGAAAGGAACATCAATTTGACAAATTTCAATTTCGAACCAGATAAATTTCTTTTTTATAACCAAAATGTACACCCCATCCCCTTGGAACCCTGAAGGCTTCCTCAACAATTGTCCCTTCTCTCTCTCTGTCTCTCTCAAAAAATGTAGTCATGTGCTTCTAGAGGCTTAGGGGCCTAGGTTGGTTTCAATGTTATTTTAATCTTTTTAAACCATGTTCACCATGAAGCCTTGTCACATGCATACCTTTCAGATTCTTGTCCAAAAAGGAAACTCAACACGAAAGAGAGAGTTGTTTAGATATTGGAAGTTATAGCGGTCTTCGAGACTTGTTTAGATGTTGAAAAAGTCATAGCTTTTATTTAAATTTGTCGTCAATGAAGGAAACTTCCTTCCCACGAATGGTAACACGCATATATGAGAGTTGAGCTTCATCTTATAAATGCCCCATCCTTTGCAGTAGCACTGCAAGGCCAAGTCTTGAAGAGACCTTTAACCCAGGTCTCTTCAATAACTCCTCACTGGTGGGTTAGTTCTCATTTTATTTTTTGGGTGGGTGACTTGGTCTTTTGAAAATTTACCCCAACCACCCCCTCTTCCTGCCTCATCCCCCTCTCCTTCCCTCAAAATTGAAACTTAGACCCCCACCCTATTCCTATTCCAAAGCTTCATTTTCCTAACCTCTCCTTTCTAGTTCCCAGAAAACATACCTCCTTCAATTCCATTCCAACTCAGTAGTATCTAATAAACCACCCTTCAATCCCATTCCAAAGACTTCCACCTTCAATTGTCATCTTTCTTCAAATTAAGATTTAACTATGTCGCCTTCTAGTTCAGCTAAACAAATTCTGTCTACAGTTGGATCGGCCGCAGCCACCGCATTGCTCATGCGAACCATAATCAATGAGTACCTACCCCCTGAAATCTATGACTTCATTTCCTCAAGAATCCGATGGCTTACCAACAACTTTTCTTCGCAATTGTGCATGGTGATTGAAGAATTTGAGGGCTTCGAGATCAACAAGGTCTTTGAAGCAGCTGAAATCTACCTCGGCAACAAAGAGTCCCCATCCATTAAGAGGATAAAGGTTCGGAAATCCGATAAAGAGAAGGATTTCACAGTCACCATGGAACCGTATGAACAACTTGTGGATATCTTCCAAGAGGCCAAATTCGTATGGAAGTTGGTTTCTTATGTTCCTCAGCAAGCTGATGTGAATACCGCGAGACCTTCATCCAGGGGTGAAGTCAAATCCTTCGAGCTTAGCTTTCACAAGAAACACAAAGACCTGATTCTAAAATCGTACTTGCCTCACATAATGGAGCAAGTGAAGGCCATTAAAGAAGAGAGAAGCCTGGTGAAGCTCCACACTCTGAATCGTGACTTCTACTATCAGGACCCTGGAAGTGTGTGGGACCACATAATTTTTGATCATCCCGCAACATTTGACACTCTTGCGATCGATACAACTTTGAAGGAAGAAATAATGGCTGACCTTAAGAGGTTCACAGAGAGGAAGGACTTTTACAGGAGAGTTGGTAAGGCATGGAAGCGAGGGTACTTGCTCTATGGTCCCCCTGGTACCGGCAAATCTAGCTTGGTAGCCGCTATGGCCAACTTTCTTAACTTTGATGTGTATGACCTTGAGCTTGCAGCCATAAATTCGAATTCGGAGTTTCGGAAGCTCCTCGTGGCCATTGCTAACCGCTCAATCATAGTGATTGAGGACATCGATCGCACTGTAGACCTGGAGGGTCAGTCTGCACAAGATGAGCCCGATAATACGCGAAACCTTGCGGTTTGTGAGCCCGATACCGCAAAAACTCAAAGGGTGACTCTATCTGGATTGCTAAATTTTCTTGATGGCCTATGGTCTACTTGTGCGGACGAGACGATATTCGTATTCACAACGAATCACAAGGAGAAGCTCGATCCGGCATTACTCCGGCCGGGTAGAATGGACAAGCACATACTTTTGGGGTACTGCAAATTTTTTAGCTTCAAGAAATTGGTTTCAACCTACCATGGTGTGGATGAGCACCCCCTGTTTGAAGAGGTTGCAGGTCTCTTGGAAGAGGCAGAGGTGACCCCTGCTGAGGTAGGTGAACAACTTATTAGGAGTGAGGATGTTGGGATTGCACTTCAAGGCTTAATTGAGGTCCTCAAGAAGAAGAGAGAGGATATTGCCCAAAGGAAAGAAGGAAATGGAACTGGAATTGAGAGCTTGTAAGAACGAGTATTCATGGTGAAATTTTGGGACTTTCCATCATTTGCTATTTTTTGCATTTCATATGTCCTGGTCACCTTGGAGAAGGAAGCATGTCTCCAAAACTCAAATTATTTAGTTCGTTATGCAAATGTCACATAACTCCCCATTTTATCGAAGGAAATTAATTTTAAGTTTCTCTAATTTTACTTGTTGTAGACTCGCTCGAGAATAGAAGATCATACAGGGTTTCATATTTTCCTTTACAAAGGGTTTCGTATTTTCCTTTACAAAGGGTTTCAACCCTTCTTTTTTTTACTATTTACCCTATTCTATTTGGTTGGGTGAAAAGTTTCATGTTTTTTATTTTTGTGGGTAAATAAGTTACAGGCTTTCTCCTCACAAAATTAGTTGGGTAATATATCTTTGGCTGTGGTTTCTATAAGGTTGCAACCTTAAACAATCCGGTTAAGGCGCACATCCAAATTTTATCATACATATAATTTTAATGTCATTATTTGAAAATCTGTTTTTATCTTTAATTAAAAAAATTTAAATTTCAAAAATGGTTAAAATCAAATAGATCTCTAAACATATGAAAATCTTGAAAATGGATGGTTTAGAAAATGTGTTGCAATGCACTATTAATAGTACTCAAATTTTTTTTTTTTTTTTCATATTCATACATCTCGACATCAAATAATATTAAATGGATTTTCAAGATGGATACGTAATTCTACATTTTAAAGTTGCAACCATATATAAACTTTTTCCTTTTAGCGAGTCTACTTTTTCCAGAGAAGAGGAGGTTTGTGACTACGTTTCATTTAAGAATACATGTTAGGCTTGGAAGTAGGCGGCGGCACTTGAGACCAATTTTGTCGTGCAACATGTGTTCTTCAAAATAGGCTCGGAAGTAGGAGGACGAGCGGAGAGCACTTGTGTGGTGCAACACGTATCATTCAAAATAGGCTCGGAAGTGGGCCGAAGCAGCTGAGACCTTCAAAATCGGCTCGGTAGTAGGTGGCCGCAGCTGAGACCACTTGTGTGGCGCAAAATGTGTCCTTCAATATAGGTTCGGGTAGGGTAACGCCCTGCAAGATAAAAAATCAAAAAACAAGCTTTGCTCTTTTAGTTTATGGTCCCTAGGGTATATGTTATTTTAGGTGAAAAATTTATTTAATAGTATTGGTATATCTTCATGACAAATATAAGTTTTATTAACATAAATCTGAAATTTTTAAATTAAAAAAAAGAAATTATGAGGTCTTTTTACAAATAGGAAGCATATACACAACCTACTTTCTTAGAAGCACATAAAATGTTGGACGTCCATCATTTGCCCAATCTTCTCACGGAAATGATTTTTTTTTTGTTTTTAAAATAATATTTTTAATTTTTTTTATTTGATCCTTTTCCATTCTCACAAAAGGCAAGGCTTTCTCCCTTTTCTGATTCATGTTCCCTAGGGTATATGCTGGGCTGTGTTCTTTCTGGTAAAAACCATTGCATATAATGGTTTTTTCCGTACGATAGTACTTATTTGTATTTCTAAATTAATCCAATGTAAAAAAATTAATTAAATATTTTAAAAGAACAGGTAAATTTACAGTATACTCTAACGGGAGCACATTTAAAATTACTCCTGGTCCTTACCAAACTCTAGAACTGGGTGACGATACGTTTAATTTTTTTTTTTTATAGAAATGAATAAATTTTTACATGAAAAGACATTTCAATTATTACTCATTTTAATGAAATATCATACTAGTATTATAATTTACCCAAAAAAATCATTTTTTAAATTAGAAAAGGATCCGGTTTCTATGCGGCCAAACCCGCATATGTAGAAATGTGGGCCTCTAAATAAATCTACTTTTGAGATGGATTTTAAGACTTATTGTTTAAGGGTAATCTCTAACATGGAGATCATGAATGTGAATAAATAAATAAATTTTAAAAATTAAAAATAATAATTCTAGTAAAAAAACATTTGGACCATTACTTTCCGTTGTTTTAAGATGGAATACCTACTTGCATCCATCTTTAAGATGGATGCTCTACACTTTTTAGACTGCATATGTAGAAATGCGGTCCAGCCCGCATGAAACAATTTTCCATTAGAAAATTTCATTTTATGATCACTATTTTACGAGGTCAAATTCTTAGAAAGTCAAATAATAAATCAAAGTGAATTTAAAATGGTAACCAAAAGCTATTATTGACAATATCATAAATTAATAACTAATTCTCAATGATTAAAATTAAATTTAAAGGTTGATGAATATAAATAAGTAGGCTCTATTCAAACCTCTCGAAGCTATTCATAAAATCATCTATTGAGTAACTTTTACATTGAATGCTATTCCAAAAATTTATTTTAAACTATGCAAATTTTATATAAAATGTAAAATTTCAAAATATTGAATATCATGACTAGACTAATTTCATTTTATGCGTGTATTTTTAAAAGAAAATAAAATCTAAACGTTCAATTAATAGACTTAACTAAAATTGCAGTTATAAATTTAAATATATAATGAGTGTGGTTTCTATAGGGTTTCAACCTTAAACAATACAATTAAGGCGCACCTCCAAATTTTCACAACATGTAATTTTAGTGTAAAGAGTTCTTAGGATTATCTCAAAATCTATTTTTATATCTAATTATAAAATTTTAAACTCCAAAAATGGTTAAAATCAAATATATGAAATCTTGAAAATGGACCGTCTAGATAATGTGTTGCGAGATGCACTATTTCTGAGACTCAAACTCTTTTCTTTCTTTTTTTTTCATATTCATACATCTCAATATTGAGATAATCAATTAGAAGGTTTATCAACATTAAAACAACTTTTTCTGATGATTTTTGGGGTGCATCTGTAATTCTACATTTTAAGGTTGCAACCTTATATAAACTTTTTTCATATGTAAGTGAATTTTCTATAAGATTGCAACTTTAAACAGTCCAATTAAGGTGCACCTCTAAAATTTTATTATAACAAATAATTTTGGTGTAATTTTTTTTAGGATTATCTAAAAATCTATTTTTATATCTACTTATAAAATTTTAAAACTCCAAAAATGGTTAAAATCAAGTATATCTATAAATATATGAAAATCTTGAAAATAGACTATCTAGATAATGTGGTGCAAGATGCACTATTTCTGGGGCTCAAAATCTTCTTTTTGTTTTTTTATTTTTTTTTATTTTAATTTATTGCATATTCATACATCTCGATCAATTAGAGGGTTTTTCAATATTAAAACAACATTTTCCAATGGATTTTTGATGTACTGTAATTCTATATTTTAAATTTGCAACTTTATATAAACTTTTTCTATATATAAATTAAAATTGAATTATAAATTCTTTTGGTCAGTAAGAGAACACATTATCCACTGGGCATTTTAAGTGATCAAAATAGATGTTGGCTCTGTTTTGCTCCCATATTTTTGGAATAAAAAACAACAAAAAATAAGCATACTTAATACACTTTTGCAACTAAAATCATATTTCTTTTGGTCTATTTATCTATGTACTGCATTGTTAAGCCGCAATTAGAGAGTGGACATATATATTAAGAATAAAAGTGGTCTCTATTGCTAGATAGAATGTTGAAGATGTAAATTTCAAAGAGGAATATCAAAAGAATAAATTTAAGTCACATTTCCTATCTTTAGGGGGAGAGAGAGAGATTGAATTCTTGAAATTAATGCAGCTCTAAAAATTAATGCATGGCTCAGGAAAGAAGAAGGAAAGTTGAGAAAGAGATACAATGAGAAAATTAATTAGATATGGATAGAAAAATAAATGAGAGAAAAATAATGACAGAGAGAGACTCAATAGGTTATCCAGTAAGCTACTTCAGTTTATCCAAAAAGGCTACCAGAGAGAGAGAGAGAGAGAGAGAGATTTTAAAATAACAAAATAAATATACATATCATAGGAGGGTGTTGAGATGCCTTTATAAAAGAGAGAAAAAAAGATATTTCAGAGGAGAGGTATAGAAAGAAAAATAAATATGCATATTACAAGAGGGTGTTGAGATGCCTTTATGAATGAGAGAAAAAGAGATATTTTAGAGGAGAGGTACAGAAAGATAGAAACTTAAGCAATGAGATAATTGAAAGGGGAAGGGAAAGTAAGAGGGGAGAGTAGTAGTTAGGAAGAAGATGAGACATATTTTAACAAAAGGGAAGAGACAATCTCATTAGACAAATATTGGACTTGAAAATAAAACTAAGGAATTACCTAAAGATTGAAAGAAAAGATTTATACAGATAGTCTTCACAAAATTAGAGAAAGTTTGTTAGTTGTCACGTGGGACTTGACATATAAAGAAAGAGCATTAGAAGGTAATGAGAGAGATATATAGAGAGAGAATTAAGGAGTAGGTAAAAAAACAATAGCTGAAAGAGATAAAGATAGAGAGAGTCATTGATAGGAGAGAGAGAGGAAGAGTTTGAACTCTTAATATCACATATGGGAGGAGGAAAGTTGAGGGAGAGAGATGTGACAGAAAATTAAATGAGAAATGTGGATTTGTAAAAGAGAGTTTGAACTCCTAAATATATTACCTGTATATGTATATATGTGGAAGCCACTGCGTAATATCTATAGGCAAAAAATGAGCAGTGTTTTCACCCATAGACTCGGCACCGTCTGATTTTTTCGGACAGCGTAGATTAAAAAACCGCAACGAACATAGTAGGTTTGTTGCGGTAAAAAACTTCATGGAAACCTTCACAGACCACGCACCGTCCATTATGGCTCCGTTCAATAAACCGTCACAGACATAGCATGTCCGTGGGGGGTAAAATACTGTTCAAAATTGCCTATAGGAGTTTTTAAGAGTTTTC